CTCACTTCATTAATTATTGAATCATATACTTTAATTTAGACTCACTCTTATTCAAAATGAAAGATTTAAATATCATCACACCGAAAAGCTTAGAATTAACATACTAATAATAATTATTATTATTATTAGTATCGAACAAATTGAGTCGACAAAATTGAGGATTAACATAGGGATGAATACTAATTTAATTTTCACCTATATATTTTTCTTTATTTTCTATTTGATATTTGAAGTCCATATTGAAGCCTTTTTTAAACTTAAATTGCACATTATATGACTCAATCTAAAACTTTCGAGTAAAAATGAAATAGTTTCACTATTGCCGCTCAAACTTTCGGTTAGTAGTCAAATTTCTTTTGTACTCCTATCAATCTATCTTTCTTTTTTTTTTTTCTTTTTTTGGTAAATTGTTTTGTATCTATGTAGAATATCACATGTGATTAGTAGATTTTCTTTCCATTTTTTTCCAAATTAGTAGTTTTTGTCCATAAGTGTTACACTTATCTTATTCCAAAAATTGATCTAAGTGGGACCCTACAGCCACCTGTAGCAGTTAAACTTCAGTTGTGGTCGTGAGGGCGCGTGGTAATGAAAGCGCGTGGGGGTAGAAGGTGCTTTTACTTCTGTCTCTGTTTTCTGCACAAAGTAATGTGGCTTTGTTCAGGGCCCCTGGGGTAGGGGTAGAGGGTGGGGTGGGTGGGGGACTGGTTTGGTTTTCTACTTTTAAATTGTGGGGTCTTCACGCATTAATATGATAAGTTGAGACCTTTAAGTGCAATTATTATTCCTCATTTACCATGCTGAGCCACTTATTTCCCCCACCTTGCTTTGAAAAAAGTCATTAATTATGAGTTTTAATTACACCAATAAAATCATATATGGGTTCCACTCCCCTTAAACCTAATTGCTTCATATTTCCTTTTTTATTAATTTTTTATAATTATCCGGTGTTCGATATTCATAAAAACTAATCTACTTGATTTAAATTTATATCATATACTTCATCGATTCATTTTTACTTATTATTTGTTTCTAAAATAGATTTGTATTTTTACTTGTACTTTTGACATATAAAAAAAGGACAATTTTTTTTCATGTTTTACCCTCGATATTAAATACTCCCTCCGTCCCTATTTACTTGTCCATATTTCCTTTTTTAGTTGTCCCTATTTAGTTGTCCATTTTGACAAATCAAGAAAGGACAACAAATTTTTTCCTATTATACCCTTATTTACACTTCTTGAAAATTGTAAAAGTGTATGTTGTTTCCCTCCAATTTATTTCACTTGAATTCAAATAAGTGGTTGTAATTTTGAAGTGAAAAGTTGTCATAAGGATAAAATTGTAACTTCACTGTGCTAATCATTGTTGCCTTAATCTGTGTGTCATTTCTAAAGTGGACAACTAAAAAGGGACGGAGGGAGTACTAAACATCATTTAAAAGTAATTGTATGGTAATATGTGTGCCAAATCAAATAGTGACAAGTGAAAATTAACGAATGGAGTAGTAAAATTTAGTAGTTGATAGAAATGATCATATTTATGAGAAGGTGTTATAGTGGGGTAAGGTATTATACTGGTTAGGAATAGACTTACGATCTGCTTATATGGACTTGAGTGACCATCTCCTCTTAATTTAGAATTTTGGGGTTGAGTTAGACTCATGTACAAAAGGCATAGACAACAGATAATGAAGATAAAATACGAGAAAAAAACACTTGAGAATACATCGATTTGAATATTCACTAATTTGTAGGTATGAAAATGTATAAAAAAAAGGTGTCAAAGGAGACGGTTAAACCTAAATCAAGTGGAAGAAAGTGTTCTCAAAAGACCTCAAAATGATAGATAAAGACAAGTCACTTTCTACATTGTAATATATAATATACCTTGAATGTTAGGCGTTAATCTAATATTTTATTTTTAAAGCTGTTTGAATAATATAATGAGTAAATATTAGATTTGAATCTAATGTTACGGGGATAATTTCTCAACGGTCCTTTACATAATTTTTCAAAAATAGGTACAAATTTTAAATGATGGTCAAAAAAGAAATATCTGTATAAATCAATTCAAAACTTTTAGTTAAAAGTGGGGTATTTAACAAAGAAATTAAAATGAAAGTATTATATATGTACTGGTTATCAATGCAATTGTAGATTCTTCAATAGCATTGCGAAAATAAAATCAGAGGCAGATGTAAAAAATTAATTATTATCTTGTGGATGTGAGTTTTTTAAAAAAGATTGAAAACAAAAGAAAATATGTTTTGTAAATGCATAACTTTAATTAGAGTGGTCCATATTAAAATTTGTTCAACATATGCATACTTCATATTGAAAAAATATTGATGGATTTCATGAAATCTTTTAATTAATTCAACTCATTTTTTTCTTAAAATAATTGTAACGAGTTATTATTATTGTGATGATATAAGAAAGTTTTATTTAAAGGTGTTTTAGGAAAACATTTAATTTGGGAATTTAAGAAAGTATTTAATGTTCATAGGCAAGTCCAAATTCGACATAGTTTAGTTAAAACTAGATTAGTGGCCCTATTTTAGCTTTTATAATATGGTCAAGGATGGGCTCTTTAATTAATTATTTTATCCTTGATTATTATTAGCATGAAAGGGAATTAGTTGATGTTGATTTAAGTCAATACAGGAAGAAATAAAACAAATAAAACATATATATTCCTACTATGGCATCATTTAGAAAAATTTATTCGCAATTAATATTTACATCAAATTAATAATAATTACAAAATAAAAGTGAGATCTCTTAACTATCCATAATTAATGAATAATAAAATGTTGCAATGCATTTATTTACGTATTAAAAACATCAGATGTGGGTAATAAGGTTTTATTATCCGAGGATAAACTATTTTTTTCCTGGGTAATGCTAAATGGCCAGAAAATTTAGCCAGGATTTGGCCAGAAAATTAAAAAGTCTATAATATCTTTGTATTTTAAAATAAACTAATTTTTTCCCCATTTTTTAGTTAAAAGATATTAAAGTTAAAAGGGTAAGAATATTCAAAAAGGTAAAATAATATAGGTGAAATACCATTCTGGCCAAATTTTCTGGCCAAAAGAATTTTTCCTTTTTTCCTTACCTGCCCGGCTGCCCCTTAAAAATCATAAATATTTAGGACAATTTTATTATTTACCTTGAAGATATTTATTTTTTGAAACTTTACAGTCTTATTTACATTTTAAAAAAGAATTAATGTAAGAGTGAAAAAAAAAACAATTTTATCTTGATTTTGTAAATTGACGAATAATTTGGGACAACTATTTTTAATAATGTAGACAACTAATATGAGATGAAGTAAATATTACTTTTGTGTGATCGTTGGTTTCAATTGTGAAGGGAGAACATTACTTACAGTCTTACATATTCAGATGAACTCAGTAATTTTTATTTAAATCCTATATTCATAATAAGAAATTTACTAAATTATATTTTGAATCTAGTAACAAATTTACAATATGTAAACTCAAAATTTGGACTCTACCTCTGATAAGTTTGGTACACGAATAAACTAGTGTATTATCACCATACGATATTCTTAACTATACTTTTGGAATTCAATATTGAAGTGTTCTTTTTTTCCGCAAATTAAATATTAGTATTTAAATAACAAAGGAGAAGATAAGGTTAAGGTGAATGAAGAGTAGAAGCACTGATCTGAATTGTGATGTAGTGATGGAACTGCTCTGTTCTTAATTAGAGGTTTTGAGTTTGAATTCTGAGTATGAAGAAAATTCATTTGGGAGCGTTATCCTCGAATGAATCCTATAGTGCGTGATTCAAGTTTAATCAGAGCTTCAAAATAAATTTCGAATACCAAATGAGAAATAATAATTTTTAAAAAAGTAGAAGCACATGATTACACAATAAGATATTTAATATAATGAATAGTAGTATTATAAGTAATAATGCATGCATGAAATTAATGGCTGTGCATTGTTTTTTCCAGACAATGCAACGGGTGAGTAGGACCAACCCACATCATGGGGCTTTAGTTCTATCTGTGTTTTTTGGTCCTACTAGGAATGGACATAAAATTAAGAAAATAATCCAATCAAAAAATTTTATTTTATTTTATATATTTAGTAATTGATTTTAATGCGCGAAAATTAAAGTATTAGAAAAAAATTTCGAAGGTGAAGGATATAACTAATCATTTTTCGGATTATCTCTTTACAGATTATCACTATGTAAAGAATGACCGAAGTTTTTAAGGTTTGACCACCTATATGTCAAACTTCAGATTTTTGATTTCTAATATGGATATGAAGTTTCAAATTTGAGTCGTAAGTTTGAATTACCAAAGTCAATTTCAGAGGAAACTTCATAATAAGTAGATAAAACAAATTTAAATGGGGAGTCTTAGTAGCTTGATTGATTGATTACTTGAACTCCCACCTTATTGGTGAGGGTTCAATTTTTCACCTCGTAATCCCTTACAATATTTTATTTTTTTCTTACCCCCAACTTTTTTAAAAGAAAAAAAAACAAACTTAAATTTCCTAATTTATGAGTTGTTGTATCATATAAAAACCATTAGACTTCAATTGACAATATATCTACCAAGAATTAATGTGAAGTTGATGAATTAAAGACAAAGAGGTTGAACTTCAAACATTTACATATGAAATTAGGCTTAATTACCTCTCAACGTTAGATATTTGGACCGAAAGTGATGAAGATCGTCAAATTTAATTTTAAACTCAAATATCTAAAGTTTGAACTATAAGTACAATATGTCAATCTTGTATATTTAGGTTTGTAGTTAGACTCGAAAAATCAAACTTTAGACTCAAAATTTTAAACTTTAATCTCGTAAATTTGAATTTTCAATTTTGAGATAACTTAAAAAATTTGGGCTATTTGTGTACTTGTCCTTAGCTTCGTTGGTCTCAGCCCAAAACCAAATGGCCCAAAGCCCATGAAGACTGATATCTGAAGCCCAAATCCCTTTGTTCCAAAATCTGGTAATCCTAGACTTCTTACTGTGGTGCCGTCTTCCGCCGTCTGCCGCCGTATACTACCGCCGTCGTCGTCATTTTTCAAGCGCCATCCATGGGAAGCATCAGCGCTTTGCATTATCTGAAACCAACAAGAACTGCCAATGGTACTTCCTTGTTCAATTTCAGTAAAAATCGCATTTCCCAATTACCAGTGGCTTTTCGAAGCTACACCGTGAAATCGAGTGTTCTAGAACCTCCAGATGTTCCACGTTTGGCTGAAACTGCTCGAATATCACTAAATTCACAAGAAATTGAAGAATTCGCTCCCAAAATTCGACAAGTTATAGATTGGTTTGGACAACTTCAAGCTGTTGATTTACAGAGTATTGAGCCAGCGATTAGGGCAGATACTGAAGGAGATAATTTGCGTGGAGACGTACCTGAGAAGTTTGAGAATAGAGAAGAACTGATTTCTGCTGTGCCAAGCTTTGAGAATCCTTACATCAAAGTTCCCAAAGTCCTCAATAAGGAGTGATGTTGTTGTTTAGGTAATTCTCATTTCATCACTCCAAAATCTTTTTTTACAAGATGTATTTTGATGCAATGTATAATTGTTTCGATCAGCTTGCACACAACTCGATTAATTATGAGCTACTTTGGATAACCGATTGAATTGTGTTATTGAAACTTCTTGACTGAGTAAAGTATTTCAGATATGGTCGTAAATTGGATTTACATACTTTGATTTGATGTACTTTGAGTGGAGTGGGGGCAGATACTTTCTCCGGACTCTACTGAATATGTTATTGCTATCGTTATCGTGATTAGAAATTAGCTATGTTATCTGGTTGTTAGTAGACATTGTCAATGTATGTGGTAAAAATTCACGAATAGCTATTTTCAAGTGTTCATCCATTCATTAACACTTGAAATAATAATAATAATTCAAGCTAATGCATGAGATATCATTGATCATTGTGTAAGTCTTTGCATCTCAGTTTGGTCATTTAAAGTCTCAAGAAGAAGCGGAGGGGCGTATTGAGCAGTTCCTTGATGCTCCTCTGAACAAAATGAATGTGTTATGGTTTCATTTGACATCTCCACAACTGCAAAGAAGAGAGTTGTCACGAGGTATCCAAGACACCAGCATACCTGCATTAGAAATAGGAATCAGGCTTAGAGATACAAAAGAGAAGTTAGCCTCGGAGAAGTTTCATTATCCAATAACTTTTACCCTTCTCCATTTAAATACGAAAGAGACTTCACTAGTCATAATTTAACCCGTGTCATGTTGTATGCTGTACTCCTCTAGTAAGGGGATCATGATCATGGGTCGGAAAGAGTTGTGTCCTAAGAAGTGTTCACCAATACAATCTCTCAAGGTGATCAAGTCATTTAGAGCTGGTTTGGCCAAGCGGCTAAAAACTGCTTATTGACCAACCACCTCAAATTTCCCAAAAAGTGCTTTTGGCTTCCAAACCGCTTGGCCAAACAGAATCTTAGATGTCCTCCCTCAAAGTTGATCTTAAAGATTCAAAACTCCAGGAGTTGGTTAAGTGTTATTTTCTTGCTAGTAGGCATTCAATTTTGGTAATCCTACAATTGTCAGTTGAGTAAGCAGTTATACACACTGTTCCGCGATTGCTAGAGCTTGAAAGTGTCCTATGCTCACAGTTATAAAATCTAAGTTCTCAGGCGACATGCATGAATCTTTTCAAGTGAATCATGTTCCTCAACAGTTATCAAACTACGACACCTTGTGCACGCCCTTTAAGTCAAAACAGTGTCCATATTCATGGAAACACACTCATTTGAATCTCTTAACCATCAGCACAAGTACTCATCAAGTGAATTTTTCGAACAGTTCTACTCAATGATACTATTATGGAAGTTATATAGGTCTTCACTCTCTTTATAGCTCTCTATGTTAAAGTCGTAATAGAAACTCCTCAAATGATCTGTGCTATTTGTTAGTTCTTAGTTCTGTGAAATTGGTAGTTTGCATCTGCTTAAATTGAAAGTCCCATCCAAAAGAATTAGACTACAACTAGTTTGACAAAGCAGGTGATTGAAGAAGTCCATATCAAAGCAAGGAAAATAGCGAAACTCACTACTTGACTGGAGAACCACAATCACTATCCAATGTGATACAATTTTATTATAGTTGTTGGCTGGTTTAGTCCCGTTTAGTTACTTTGTTTATATTGCCAGGAGGCTGTTGGGGTGTTATGTCCAACATCCTCCCTTCATCTGTACTGTTCCATGCACATTAGCGTAATGTCCAACATTCATACTGTGCCATGCTCATTAGCCTAATGTCAACATCCTCCCTTCATCTGTACAGTCCCATGCTCATTTTGGTAATGAAATCAAGTTTAGTTACCAAAAAAAGACTGATACACAGCTTCCCAAGAAGGAGATTAACATCGCCATTGACATTCACCTTCCCAATCCAAAGAATGTTACTGATAATGTGATCAGTTGGAATCTCAGAAGACTTAAAACAGCCCTTTCCAGTTATCGCTATATCTGCAAAGCATCCCAAGCACTATCACCTTGAATTTGAAGTTATTAGAGATGGGAGAGGGGAGAATGTTCAAGAATTAAGATAAATCAATTCGATTACAATTTTACAAGTTGAATTAAGTACTAGTAGTTTTGTTTTTCTTTCTCTACTTATTTGACTATAGTCCATATTATTACAAAAGCAAAATTCTCTTCAAAATAGTGGTAGGCTTGACTACTTTTTTTCCATTTCATGTTGGATAAGAAACTTTATTGTTTCATTTTTATTTGTAGTTTGACTTTTTTTATTTACTAATTGAAGGATATCATAGTTCCTTCATCCTTGTGTTGAAGATTAGGATATGGAACATATTTAACAACGTGGTACAATCAACGTGTATAACTGTTAAATGTTACAAAGTTAGAGTCACACTAGGATTGGGCTAGCCCATATAACAGTTAACAATTGTACCACGTTGCTCTTCCCTTTTATCTTCAACACCTTGTATTCAGGGGCGGACCCACGTGGTATCAAGAGGGTTCACCCGAACCCCCTCGGCAAAAAATTACACGATATTTCTATAGATATATACATTTTGAAGCCCTCAATAACAAAGAGAAACTGATGGTGCAGTGGCAAGTATGACTGGCAACGGAACCGGGAGGTACCGGTACCGGTTCCGGTCCGTTACCGGTTCCGTCTCGATCCGGACAGTACCGGTTAGATCCGGAATTGTTCCGGTCCGGGAGGGGTAACGGGACGGAAACCGGGATTTACCGGTCCGTCCCGGTCCGGTTAGTCCCGGTCCGGTCCGGTTCTGGTCCGGTTTGTTTTTTTTTTAATCTGAAAATTTGAAATTATAG